GCACATATCTTTCCAACATATGATATTCTAGCAAAATATATCCTTAAAACCGTTGTTAATATTAAAAAAAAATTATCTATGCTGTTAGCATTTTTATAGCCAGTTTCAGATACTTACTGTTTTAAATGGTTAGACGTGCTAACTAGAATTAAGTGGCTAAATATATAAATAACTCTATCCCCTTGATGAAGATTTCAGTAGACAGACCAGTGAGAGTCTAAGAGTGTACAATTAAGAGCCAAGCATTGTAGATATCTGTCTCCACCTAGTGGCGATTCAAAAATATTACTAAATCTCCAAGTGCTTTGTACAAATTCTCACTACTCCATCCAAAGGAGAAGTGAGTGATAAATGTTGCTGTTTGTCTAAATTGGGGTTTAGACTTTAGCTGTCATCATTTTAATTTGTTTTGTTTTAATTTCCAGAGAGGAACTACTCAAACATTATTTTTCAGAATAGAACAATTTGAAGAGTTGGGTATCTCCAGCAATTCAGGGATTGTCAGTGATCTCAGGAGTTCATTTCAAGTGGAGAATCATCTTAAAAGACCGAGAAGTGCTATTCACCCAAGGAACTAGACTCTGAAATGAACCAAAGACAGCAAGTGTTCTCCATTGAGTGTACATCTGGGTACGATGATGGTGCTTCAAGATGGGAATCAAGAGAATGATGTTCACAGACACCTCATAAATGAAATAGTGAGTGAATAGAGAGAGGGAGGAAAAGAAGGAAGGAGAGGAGGAGGAAAGAAGGAAGGAACAGAACACACATTTATTAAGAAACCTCCAAGTGCCAGGCACTGTGCTAAGCACTTTATAAATATCATCTCATTTGATTTTCACAACCACCCTAATAAAGAGGTACAATTATTATCCCTATTTTAAAGTTGAGGAATCTAAGGCAGATAAAGGTTAAGTGACTTGCCCAGGACCACACATCTAGTAAGTGTTGGAGACAAGATTTAAACTCACATCCTTCTGACTCCAGGCCCAGCTGCGTCCAACTCTTCAACCAGGTGAACCACAGCACACCAATCCTGTGCATGGGGGTTTCTTGGCAAAGATACTAGACGTGTTTGCCATTTTCTTCTCCAGTGGATTAAGGCAAACAGAGGTTTAGTAACTTGCTTAACGTCACACAGTTAGTAAATGTTTGAGGCTGAATTTGAACGCAGGTCTTCCTGACTCCAGGCCCAGTACTCCCTCTACTGAGCCACCTAGCTAACTCCTGCATAAACCTAGCTGTCTCTGCAAAGGGAGCTCACCACACTAATAGATCACAGGTCCATAATAAAACAAATTTAAAATCACGAATGAAACATTGCTGTTCAGTCGTTTGAGTCACGTCCAACTCTTCTTGACCCCATTTGGGGTTTTCCTGGCAAAGATCCTGGAGTGGTTTGCCATTTCCTTCTCTAGCTCATTTTACAGATGAGGAAACTGAGGCTTATAGGGTTGAGTAACTTGCACAGGGTCACACAGCTAGTAAGTGTCTGAGGCCAGATTTGAACTCAGGAAGATTAGTCTTCCTGAATCTAGTCCTGGCACTGTATCCACTGTGCCAGCTAACTGCCCTTATACCAGTGGTATCAAACAAAACAGATCCATGTGGTTAACATCATCTATGTTTTATTATATTTTTATTTATTTTATGAAATATTACCCAACCAATTCTGGGAATTGTGAGGATCCATTATGGCCTATCAGCCAGAATTTGACCCCTCTGCTCTATCCTACTACTGAATAATCTTACTAAGGTACAGATATGATCACATTTTCAGAATAGAACAATTTGAAGAGTTGGGTATGTTCAGCAACTCTGGGGCTGTCAGTGACCTTAGGAGTTCATTCCAAGTGGAGAATCATCTTTAAAAACTGAGAAGTGCTATCCACCCAAGGGACTGGACTCTGAAATGAGCCAAGGACAGCAAGCACTTTCCGTAAAGTGTACATCTGGGTATGATACTGATGCTTCACTGGAAATCAAAAGAATGATGGTCACGACACCTCATAAATGAAATAGCGGGTGAATAGAGGGGGAGGAAGAGAACATGCATTTATTAAGAAATACTCCTCCTCAAAAATCATCTTTTGCTCTTCATTGCCTACCAAATAAACGACATATGTCTGATCTTGGCCTTCAAGGCCTTCTGTACTTTTATTCAGCCTTATCCCATACTTCTTGCTAGCATGAGGTGGTGCTAAGAACAGTGAATTCATACTCAGAAGCTCTGCTCCTAATATGAATATGGACAAGACATCTCACTTTTCTAGTGTTCAGCTTTCTCCTCAGTAAAATGAAGGGGTGTCACTAAATAATCTCCAAAGGGCACTTCCTGGTCTCAATTCTTCGATCTTGCAAAAAGAAGTGCTTTTTAAAATGTTTTTAAAGTGATAAGGCAGCTTTCACAGAGAGGAAACAATGATTGCAGAATGCTTACTCAGAGAGTAAATAGAGAGCTCTGTTAGCTAATCAGCCAACAACACAGGAGTCAGAGTAAAGGAAAACCAGCCCCAATCGGATCAACTATCTGAATAGGCCTGAAGACTTCTAAGGGGAAATATGACTGAGTGGTGGTTTTGATTGAAATTGAACCTGAAAAGTATGATTGTGAAGCTGACCCACCATGCTATCAGCTCAGGCCAGTTGCTTAGTTTTCAACTTACATAAGTGGCTTTATACAGACACCAAGAACTACTTAAAAAAAAAAAGTCCCACAAAACTCCCTCACTTGTCACTGAATCTCTTCACACACACACACACACACACACACACA